AGCTGCAGACATCCTATGCGTCTTCTTTGAAGTTGTCATGTCAGTAACTTACCGACTGCTGCCAAAGGGTTGCGAAGTTGAAATCACTCGAAGAGGTTTGGGGATGCGCACTTCTGCTGAACTCCTACAGGAACGACACTTTAGTTTGTTGCCTTCAGAGTGTAGGGTCGATTGGATTTTGCTTGCAGATATAGTTTCAACGATGATCCCGTGCCCCTGCACATATGTAACGATGGGTTAACACGCCATTTTTATTTATTGATCGAAGAAAGATAGCGTTTCCAGCTGCTTATTAATTGTTCAGTTATCTAACAGACTTTCTGATCTCGCCTTCCAATTCTATTTGACAATATTCCGTTCCACCACAGCTTTCCCCAATGGCTCTACTCAATTTTGGAGTTCGACTCGATGGTTTTCCGAAATGCGAACCCCTTCCAATCCCACCGAATACGTACAACGAAAAAGTTCTTCTCCGCTTGTACGACACGCTTGGACGGATGCTGGAGTTACAGGTGTGTCCGTCTTTCCTTCGCCTGAAGAGATGGGTTTTTAAACAAACCTAATTTGCTTGAAGTTTGCTTCACCTCGCTCATTGTTTTCCATCCAGATAGACTTCATGCCCCATCAGTTGTGTAACGACGGAATGATTTGGAAAGCCTATCGTATTTCATTGTGTTTATAACACAAAATCTCAATACTGTGAAATCTTATTAAAATTTCTAAATCGGATGAACAATAGACTTGATAGCTTTGTACTAATGACTGCGTTTCGAATGCGCCTTCAAAAAAGCCAGTCAATCAGTCGCACTCAAATGGTCTCACAGGCTCGTGATTTCATGTTCTATGGGCGTGAATTACCTTGGTAATCCGTCGATCACAATCTTTATTTCTTTCCAGTGTCCTTTGTGTTCATGTGCTTTATTCTTTCGTCCCCAAACAGGTGCAAGTTTTATCCCGTGCCGGTGGACCGCGGCATTTAACCGTGAGCGCAGTGATCTGGCTTGTGAATGAATCCGGACTGCCTCTCGTATTTGCCCAATCACCGACTTCTACCAGTTCACAGTCTCATTCCAAGACACAGAAATCACTTGCTAATATTTCGGCTGGTCAGTACGAGGAACATGAACAGGCTCGATCGGTCGCACCACTCCTGTTTTGCTTTGCAAAAAAGAACGAAGGTCATTTGTTGAAGGTGCGCGTCGGGCGTGGGTACGTCCTTTTGCACACGCGTTTATGCGTGCATGTATGATTCCCACCCATCAGGTTTTCATAATGTAAGATTTCTCGAACGGAAGCAAACAATTATGACAATTATGGTTCGACAGCGGTGGCATTGGTCCGCCCTCACGCAGCAAATTTCCTGTGACCCGTTGTGCTATCTGATTGGATAATGTTCCGCGATTTACACTCTATTACAAAACTTGGTGATCATCTGTTTTAAATTTTTGTAACATGATCATTGTTAGCTGCCCATTGTTACTCAGCGATGTGACATCCCTTCCACGCATTGTGGGCTCATGAATTCAAGTGATCAGCAAGCTATTGGTTCTCTCTGGTCCTGGTATGCTCGAGCAATCGTTGGACCCGTAAACCGTAGGCCGTACGATAAATCATTTTTTATCCTAATGAAGCTAAAATAAGCTTTATGCATCCGAAGGATGAATTTTCAGCGATTTTCACGGGACATTGAAAACAGAAAAGAACGCAAATGATTGTGGAGGACGTGAACAAAAAAGCGGCTCACTGTGATCGAGAAGACAATAGTTGTAAAAAAAATTAACACAAGACCTGCTATAATTGTTATTGGTTCACTGAAAACGGGCAAGATAAGGGAGGATGCTGTTTCTATACGTGGTGGTACGTGTAGGAATGGGGCAAATTCGAGGATTTTTCGCGGATTTAAAAAGTTCTTTGTACAACCGGTGATCTTAGGTGTTCAAGATTCTCTGAGTAATTCTTTCACTTGCATCGATATGTCCGCTCACAATAAAATCAATCAGGTCATCTCCGGCTATACCACTACTTCGGAAAGGAGTTTAATGAATCCATAAATTAAAATTAAATCATTTTCTTTCAGGCCGGGGTAAAAAAGACTCCGGGACAGCATAGTTAATGAGGAAAGATGCACGCGACCACAAATTTAAAAATCACATTTGGGTGCTAACGAACTTCCTATGCCTGAGCGCTTGGAAAGAAATCTTTACGACCCCTATTGTAAATATTTTTCATGTTAGATCGTGGCATAGATCGACAACGGGACATTTCATATCTTCAGCTTTGGGAATGCTGTGACCGAAAAGTTCGGGTTGATCATTAAAAGTAGTTTACTCACAGGAACCAGACTTTAGGTATACTGTGCACTTACTCGACGGGGTATGAATTGATTGCACTCGTGACTGAATTTGTGACTTCAGTTATCCCTTTTCCGGGCCGCTTAGAAAATTAGTGCCTGTATCTTGGACCAGTCAAGGGTTAGCACATGACAATGCATACATGTTTTCTATTTCGAATTACCTGGATGGCGCATTGCTCAATAAGTGATTCTCTGTCAACGCTTAAGCAGCATCGCGCTCATAACTTATCCTCCTGTGCCGATTCAACAGTCACACGATCGCTGGTTTTCGTTCATCAATCAGCTGGATGGTTCAGCTGCGACGCGCTACGTGATCCTTATCTTAACTCGAGCGAGAATCGACACCTTGTCGACATCCGCTACTGTGCGAAGCAGGAGTGCCGTCATCACACAGCTCGACTACAGGTGACAATAAAAGCAGTATAAACATTACGGACCGGTGATCAGACAGTATCCTATCAGGTTTGGGGATTTCAAGTTGCGCAAATTACGGAGAAGGTCAAAGGGTATTTAATTGTTTCAGGTCACGGGTGAGAAGGATAAGACGATGCGAAACGATGGAACGAGCGCACTGCACAACCAGGCTGATTGATGCTCACCAAAACAAGCTCTTGTGCAACGGATGGTTGTAAAAACTGAAACGGAAGCGTAAACAAGTGAAATAATGAATAAAACCATATTGCAGAGGCGGGAATTTTCTCTACAAGTTGTTATGGATTTGGCTAGCCCAAGCCTGACCCCCAAAGGCAACGGGGCGGTGTGAAAACTGCAGTTCATTGGGAGCCGGTGTCCAATTCATCGGATCATACGCCCTTCGGACGGGGTCAAACGTCCAAAGTGCCCAATTGAGAGGGTGACGACTGCCACAACCAGGAAGTTGTGTGTGGTTTGTACGCTTCCTCGTGTTTGGTTTGGATTCAAGGATTTTGGCTAACTATCCTAGGTGAACTACCAGTGGTCCACCAATCCGATTATAGCCTCGGATGTCGGCTTTTCGTTCTTTCACTTTGGTGGGGAACACCTCCGCCACGAGAAGACAGTAAGCAGGGCTTTCTAACCCGAGATAATTTGTTTGCGACATGTACTCTAGTAACCGAGGGGTGCTTGTGGTATTCAGCCTCCGTAGTTTTCTTAGGTTGGATAAGGCATTTCGTGACTTCATTTACGTGAACTCGGTTTCGGGTTATTTGATTGACTGCCCTCAGTTTCTCATCCTGTGTGCCGTTGAACTAGCATGATTGGGGTTCGTTATCTTGTCCTCAGTTTTCCGGTAGCCCTTGTTATCGGCTCACAGCGTGTCCTGTGTTATATTACTTCCTTGATTTTCGGGTGTCGTGGATGTGTGCATTCGTTCACTGAGTTTGAATAGTTGAAAGAGCCCGGAGAAGTTCTCTGACTTCTTTTGATCCTGCGAATAAGCGACGCGAATTCCTTCAACTGCAGCTGCGGAATGCCTTGTACCTGACTGTGCCATTGGTTGAACATGTGTACGACTAAGCCACTCCAGGTTTATTTTGTTTCCCTCTCATTATTTGAACGCAGCCTAACGACTGTCCGCTTTCCCCCTAAAATAATTCATTATATGCTATCCTCTTTCCTAGGGCCAGTACCAAACGTTGGCGCGCAAACGAGGCACGTAAAACTGACAAATCGGGTGTGGAACCGTCAAGTTTATGTCCGGTTTGGTCTCCCGGCATATCCCTGGAGAAACCGGGAGTGGATATGTTACAATTAAAAATCGTCGATCGCTCGAATCGGTAT